TCATTTGGTGGTAAAGAGCAACTCCATCCCTTAGGGGTGGCTTAGTGAACAGTAATCGTTGGAGGATTTTGCCGTCACTGCAATAAATTATTTGGGTAATTCACATTAAAATTTTATTTTTAAAAAATAATAATAACAAGGAAAATAAAAAAATTAATATTACTTTATAAAAAGAATATTAATGTTCTGCGACCATTTCTTTCTGGAATCATCACTCTCTTCCTCTTTTTCTCCTCAATTCCTCTATCCTTCATTTCTCCTCCTCCTCCCTCGACTTCGCGCTCACCGATGACAGGTCCTGATACACGAGGCTGTGTTCGACGACCGCAGCTCCTGCTACGTACGTCCCCCTCTCCCTCTTTTTCTTCCTTCTTCGTCCCTCCCTCCCTCGATTCGTCCATCCCTTCACTCGCTCCATCCTTCCTCTCTCTCGGTCCATTCCTCCACTTCATCTCCTAGAGTTGGGCCCGAATGGCAAGGGAGACTTGGGTGTGATGGAGCAATTTTTGTTGGGATAGGAGGATTGAATCACCCAATTGCAAAAGAGATTTGTTGGGGTGGACTTGCTCTAATATAAACACTTCATTCCATGACCATATAATCACATATATATACACACATATGTATATGCATATGCTTATTTTATATTTGTCCAATTAAATGTCAGTAAATTAATATTCGACTATCCGGACTAACTTGTCTGTCATTTGTTTTTAAATTTTACCAATTGAAGCTATTGATGTTTAATTTGGGATTTACTCTGAGTTTGATCCAAGCTTATGAGTGTTGTTAATCTAGCCCTCATTGTTTTTTAAAGCGGATATATAAAGGCCTGTTTGGAATCCAATTAAAAAATTTTCATCATTTCTCAAAACATTTCTTAAGAATATCTCTTGGAAACAAATTTCTTTAAGACTCAAAAACTTGTTTGGTATAAGATTTAAAATTTTTAAATCTTAAAACTTAAACTGGACAAAGAGATCCAAAGAGAGGAGATCGCATGAGAGGGAGTGAGATAGAAGAGTGGATTGGAGGAGATAGAAAGAAGAAGAGAGAGGATTGGAGGAAAGACAAAGAAGAAGAAAATGAGAGAATGAGGAGTGAGAAAGAAGAAACTAGAGATAGATTCGGAGTGAGAGGGGAGGAGAGAGAGAAAAGAAAGAAGTGAGTTTTATGTTAAAACTCTAAAAACTCAGTTTTAATGTTTTAGATAATAGGTTGTGTTTTTATGTTAGTTTTAAGTTCAATTTTTTGAAAATAGTCATACTAAACAAGTTTTTAAGGCCTAAATTTGAAAAGTATTTTTGAGTTTAAAAAGCTAGATTCAAGTAGAGTACCAAACAGACCCTAAATTTCTTCTAATAACAAATGGTAATATGCTTGTTATTAGACTAGTCGATTATGCATTCAGTTGAGACGAGTGATTCCAATTAAATTTAGTAATTTAGTTAGTATATGGACAGTCAAAATCACTTATGTAACGATTCATAATATATGTTGTCAATCCATTTAACATATAGCATATTTTGTTATTAATTTCTATTCCACTATATATATTGGCGCGGATCAACTATTGAGGCGGATCAGTGACACCATTTTTTTTACACAACTTTAAGTTTTTGTGAAGCCCACTTTGTAATGTATTTTGACGATCTAAACCGTCTATCTTTTATAATATCATTCATAAATCATCTTTGCAAAAAAACTAGAGAAATCTAAACCATTAAGACATTTGTTGATGCATAAAATCAGTTAGACTTTGAAACAACGTAAAGTGTTAAGTTTGTAACCTTCGCAAGGTTGCTCCGGTCACCTGGTAGGATAATATGTAAAGAGATAAAGATAGGGAAGCAAATACAAGATGTACGTAGTTCACCCTAAGTTGAGTTACGTCCACAGGGTAGAGAAGTTTTCATTACTAGTAAAGGGTTTACGCAATACATAGGTTCAAGCATCATCATTAGTGAGTTCTAATGACAAGCTTATGTACAATAGTGACATTAGGTGACACACCCCGACCGAGATCAAGGCGTGCTGGCCGTCACGTGAGAGTGACATAGCCATGTGCACAGTGCGGAAGCAATAATGATAACAATTATACGAATAATTGAAAACCAAATTACTAGGGTGCACTATTAAACAGAAGGTGATAAGAGTTAGTTACAACAGTAAACACTCATAATCAGAGCATAAAAGTCTAGATGCAGTCCAGTAGGACAAGTACTAGTTATACAGTACCAGGAATGTCCTACTATTATTTGGATAAGTCAGAACTGTCGACATCCTCAAGCCACCAACAACAAGCTTACTTAAAACTTGGAGGGGCGCAAAACAGAAAACGTGAGTAGGCAAAAACAAATGTTTTACAAAACCATCTTATTTATCAATATACTAACCCCTCGTTGTAAAGCATGTATAATTTTTCCCAGAATCAAGATATAAGCATATATATATATAATCATATATATATATAATCATATCAATTCCATTCATACTTCAAATAATCATATTCAAATGTATGCTATGCCAAAATATAACAAAGTAAACAATCCAGGTAAGAATGATTTCATAGAAATATAATATGTTAGCCGAAACCCCTAAGGTGGTCTGTACGGCTGAATTCATAGCTCAAAAGTCAATCTAGCCGGAGTCATTACAATGACCTATACGGCAATATACTGCACATAAGTCGGAACCATTAAGAATGGTCTGTACGACAAAATTGGGTGAAATATAATTATGCTCAACTCTATTCTCTCATAATAGTCGGGCGATAAATCGCTAGTCACTTACAAGTCGGAACCATGAATAAGGTCTATACGACAAGACTGTGCACTTAAGTTGGATCCAATATGAGCATATAATGCGGGAGGTGACGTAAATAAACAGGCATGTACTTCATATCTCTGGCTAAATCACAATCATCCTAGGTGCAGTTTTATGAGCTCAACATTATTCAATCATATATCACATCATCGATGATTCACATAGTCAAACATAACTTACATGAACTTACATATGCCTCCATAGCACCATATATATATATATATATGTAACCATGAAATGCATATTCAAAATATAAAAGCATTTCGCATATTATTTCAAGCATACTTTCCTTATAAATGCATTTTTGGGAAATATATCAAGTATATAAGTATATACTGAAAACAAAAGCCCACTCACTGGTATGTCGAAGGATCGTAGCCCCCGAGTCGTCCATGGATACGCACGTCCTCAGGATAGGCCTCACCTATATGCGAATTAACTATAAAAATGTTATTTTAAAGCATATAAACAAAACTAGCTAATAACTTCTCATATATTGCTCAAATTTGGTATATGAATATACCACAGTGATCTACACAACCTCACGAACATCGTGAAATTTTTAGAAAAAAAATTCTATGGCTCACGAGCCCTCACGCGCCGGGGAGGGCACGGCCTCACGCACAGCCCACGCACATCATCTTCAACCTCCAGACGCCGAAACTGTGTCACCGGCGTCGGATTTTGGGCAGACCTGCAACTGCCTATTTCTCTCTCGTTTTTGCACCATTTTTCACGTAATTTATACCAAAATGAAGCTCTTAACTTGTAGAACACAATCATACTAATTTAAGTTCTAAAAGTCACGGAATCTCACCGGAGAATTCCAAGAAAACCGGCCAAACTTCATCCACACGATCCCGACGTCCAAAACCTGCAAACGAATCACTCCGAGCTTCCTTGGGACCTCACTAAGCTTCCTACAAGCTTCAAATTCCCAAAAACATCCATAATTACGTGTGCATGAACGGTGCATAAATTGGGGGCTATGAAAAACTAGGGTTTTCGAATGTATCCTTACCTGAAATGGGTACTAATCGACTCGTCTGGGCTTCATGAACACAATGGTACCATTTTCTTCCTCGATCAGTGAGGTTTGAGAGGTCCTTGGTGTTTGTCCGTACAAGAAGAAGGAGAGAGAAACGTGAGAGTCTGAGAGATGAGAGAGATGGCACGGGAATGAGAGAGAGAGAAAATGGTATGGATGTGTGTGGTCCAAAAATACACACCAATCAAATTGTTTAATCCTTTTTTATCTAATTGGGTCCAATTAGTTAGGAATATAACTAATTGACCTAATTCCTTAACCCAAACACCAACACACGTCCAACGCTCAAGGGTAAATCTGTCTTTTCACAACCACAATAATTAATTCTCGGGATGGGCTGTGACATTAGGAATTAATTGTAGGAGAACGGTTTCCTTTTATAGTTGAAGAGAGTTTTCGACTCCCATCCGCGGTCGATGTGTGACTCTAGGAGCTTTATTTTGATGTTGATGCATAACGTGTTGTGATTGGTCTCTTGATTGGAGAGGAATTCGTGTGCTTTGTTAGGGGTGCATGAGCATGAACCCTTCAGTGGGTCTCTAAAGGTACGGAGTTGACTGGTGCTCAGTAGTTTCGAGATTGGTGAAGTGTGGTACAAACAACAATCATTTGTAATGAAGAAAATAGACGAATATGGTCATACAAAGAAACCATAAACCTTTAATCCAACAGTCTATAATTTCATATTTGAGTATTTTTGGTACACATGATCTTTGAGGAATGACATAAAAATAGACTATTTAGATCGTCATGTCAAATTCAAATCCAAATTAATGTACTCTTATGCCAAACTCAAATGTACTCTCATTGTGTTTCTAACTAATCTACTCTTATGTCAAATTCAAATTTTTTATTTATTTCTATCATATTATTCAATCCAAATGAACTGTTACGATTTTTTCCGACCATAGAATTTTATTGATGATTAAAGAGCATTACAATCTTCAAAAGGAACATCCTCAATAATGTAAGTTCGTTAAACCAATAAGTCTCGTACATATTGGTCTCGCTGTTAAGTGGTAAAGGGTGAGGGTTAAGGCTTTAAACACTGGCTGATGTGGAGTAGTTGAGGCCATTGGTTCCCAAGTTCCCAACCCGAAAACACTGGTGGAAGGCAGAGTTCCCAATACTTTGGGGATCTTTCTTATAATTTCTCTCCTCGCACCATGTACCTCTCAACCTACGGACAAACAAACAAAAACACGAGCTTCTCTTTAACGTACGTTCATACGGATGGCTGCCGCGAAGAGGTGCATGGATTTTGTTTTAGCCCTCGATCATGAACCATGCATTCGATCAATGGTACGAAATATGGTTAATTATGAATTTTGTTATTGTTGTTGTTGAATTGCTTTAATTCCAGAATATTATCCTTCATATCCTTTTCCTTGTCCGCTACTTTTGCTTGAGAATCAGATTCCCATATATTTCCAACGAAAATATAATAATGCTTCCACAAAATTTATTTAGATTAGGGAAACAAATAAAGGAAATTCTGACATGTTTGAGATTGTGGTCATGTTTGAGATTGCTTTTGGAATGGCTATTCTGACAATCAAATAGCATTTACGAGAGCATTTGATAGTAAAACTTAAAAATACTAGGTGGTTCTCTTCCAAGTGCTTTTCTAGGAAGCATTTGAAGTGTTTCTTTGACGGTTGAATGCATTCACCATTGTATGTGTTGGGGACTCCATAGATGTCAAGCATTGTGAATTTGATACGTAGTGCACAATATCTAATCCATGTTTTGTTGCCAGTGCAATGGAATTCAAATTCCTTGTCCGGGGTGATTCATGTTTGCTTGTAACTTGAAATATAGGTTTTACGAGCTTGTAGCTGAATCTGTCATTTGTCATTCAAAGTAGATTTGGGAGGTGAATTTTACCAACCATGGGAAAGAATTTGAGAGACAAAAACCCTAACAATTCATCAGGGAATGAGCATTCACCAGGGTGCGTTTGGGGATTACTTCACATGATGAAGTATCACCACTGGCATTATGTCAAGAAAAGACTTGTGCACAAGAGGCATCGCGGCAATAAACATGCTGTTGGTAAGTAAAATGACTCCATACTATACGAAAGTTTTATTTTCCACTTTGGCCATATACGCAAACTTCGCGGATAAAATCAACCTATGTGCATAATAATTGTCCTTGTTTACTGCACCGGTGGCCCAAATTTCGTTCATTTTTATAAGCAGTTCAATGGAATGGCCGGAACTTATGACTATGCCATGATATGTGATGTAAATCCATATTACTGTTTATTAATTTATGTTGGAATTATTTTTTTCTTTTGGTCTGCTACGCTGCAGGAGTTGGGATTCCGGGAAGCTGTACTGGAAATGCCTGTATGCCAGAAGACACTGATGCTAAGAGTGACAAATCTAACGTAAGTTTGAGCAAAAGAACTTCTGACAGTGCATTGTTGGATATTAATTTCTTTTTGTGTTCAAAAATTGTACTTGAATGAGTGTATAGACAAAAGCAGCATTTGGTTTGATTTTATCAGGGTGAAGAAAGGACGAGGCAGTCCATTCCAGCAGGCATACATTCCGTCAAGGCCCGAATAAAAGCACGGATTGCTGGAGAAATGTCAAAGAAGGGTAGACATAACCGGGCTTCAAGCTGTCCTGTACGATCACAATTGAAGCGAACAGAATCCATGCATCGTTTGGAACCACCACCTAACCTGTACCCGATTGCTGAAATGGTATTGAATGAGAATAGTCCTAGAATTGTTCACCACGGCAATGAAAAATCCTGTGCTACAAGCAATACAAGCAATCTGGCATCACTGTCCGCGACAACATATGAACGACCAATTAGTGGCAATAATGATTGTTGTGGAGATAGTTGCCCGCTAATCACTAGAGATCGTACCGTGCATGACAAGGTTAATGAGAATAAAAAAGATCACACATTTATAGAAGAAAAGATGGATGATGACAGAATGCAAGATATGTTCGAGAAGAAGTTGATACATGTAAAAGAACTCGATGCAGATGCTTCCCTACACCATCCAAAGGAGTATTTGGAGGCGTTGGATATAATCAATGTGAACAAGGAGTTATTAGTAAAGATTTTACATGATCCCGGCTCTCCTTTAGCTGCGCACTTCCATAATCAGCAAGCCGTCAGTGCAAAAATGGGTTTAACTAAGTCAGAGTCATTCCCTGTCAAGCTCAGGCACAAGCATGAATTGACAGGGTCTCCTTTAATAGAGGAAAGCAAGTCGAAAAACAGTATTAAAACAAAGAAATTAGCAGGGTCATCTTCTTTGAAATATGCTGGTGAACGCTCAATTCCATCGATCATTGAGCACAATGCAGATGGGATTCAAAAGCTAAACCAAACAATTGCCGATAGTTCTGCTTCTGGTACTTCCGAAAGTTTGAGGAACCAAGGTGAGAATCGCATGGCAATTAAACGGTTCAAGGATCTGAGACAAAAAATAAAGCATGTAATCAAGGAGAGCAGACAAGAGAGACATATGATTGCCATGGATGCCATCCTTCACAAGGTTCCTCATGGCCAAAAGCTTACTAAAGAAATGGAGCAAGAGATCATTAACCATTCGAAGGACCCTGCAATGAACAGAGAAGGTAAAGACAGTCCAGCAAGCAGTTATGATAGCGATCATTCGGTTTCTACCATCAAGAAAAAGCAACAGCACCACATAAGAAGAGCGTCATCACTCAATGCATCGCTAGATAAGTACTGTGAGTTGTACGAGACTAGTTGCAACAGAGAAGCCAAATGCCAAACAACATCCGAGAGATTGAAGTTGAGAAATGAAAGAGTAGGCTCACCATTACGTTATGTTCCAAAAACGCTGGGGAGGATTTTTTCGTTACCTGAAATTAAATCATATAATTATCAGAACGAGGAATCTTCTGATGTGTTTTCTTCTGGAGCTCCAATTAGGGCTGTTGTGGATGGAAATGCAAGCAGAAGAAGTAGCTTTGATGAACAAAATAGTGTACACCATAGTATAGGTTCAGAAAATCATACGGAGCTAGATGCGCCTGTAGAAAGTGAGATTAAAAATTTGGCTGGCGGTGGTGAATTCAAGGCAGTTTCCAGAGATAAGGTGGCATCAACATCAATTGTAAACAGGGAGAAAAGTGCTCCAGTGGATTCAATTGTTAACGATATTGAAAGCTTGACAGAACCATTTCCAATCTCTGTGCCCGAGTTCAACGTTTCCCTCTCTGAAGGTATGTCTTTTAATTTTCATTAATAAGTTTTACCTTAAATTACAGCATCTCAATCCAGGTGCATGCATTCTTCAAAACTTTGAAGTTTTTGTTGCTCTACGACTGTTATCTTCAATCAAAGTTATGAAATTATCAGATTTGCTAGTTTTAAATCTTGGCGTATAATGATCAAACCAACTTTTCTCAGTGTAGAAAATGTGAATTATGTTTCAAATTTAAGCCATTCCTCATATTTTTCATGCATCGATCACTAATTTATGAGCTTTAAGGCTGAGGGTTCATCGTGCTTATGGATATTGGTTTTATAGGAGCAGAAATGGAAATAAAACCTCAAGATGGAATAGAAAGCTTGGCCAAGCTAGAGCATGATTCGCCTAATGATACACCTAAGCCGGTTCACATGGATACGGAGAAGATAGGAAGTCCAATGAAGCACTTGAGGTACGACATGACTCAGGTCCGCATTGATGAAAGAGACTTGGCCGATTTCAATTATGTGCGAGATGTGTTGGAGCAATCCAGATTCAGTGGAAATGAGTCCCTCGGGACATGGCATTTGGATGAGCAGCCTGTTGATCCTTTGATGTATGGTGACACTGAGGGCTGCTTGGTGCATGATCCTGATTGTTCAGGAAACGAAGAAGGCGGGAAATGTGATCACTATCTTCTGTTTGATCTGATCAATGAGGTGCTGATGGAGATATATGGGAGATCATACAACTACTGTCCGGTGGCGTTGTCTTCCTTATGTCACATTCCTCTAATGCCGGCAGGGCACCATGTTTTGAAGGAAGTTTGGGCCCTTGTGAGTTGGAACTTGAGCTTGAGACCTGAGGTTGATCAATCACTGGATTATGCTCTGAGTCGAGACCTGGAGAAGAGCGACGGATGGATGAACCTCCAGTTTGATTCTGAGTGCATAGGGATTGAGCTGGAGGACTTAATTTTTGATGAACTTTTAGAGGAAGTTCTCTGTGTTTGAGCTTGTGGATGGATCTGCCAACAGTTATCCGATATGTTGCCGAATTATACAGGATGATATATGTTCTAAACTACTGTAAATCTGCAGGGAGGGGGCAATCCGATCTTGGGTGCAGATAATCGATCGCTTGGCTCTAGATAACTGGCCTAACCCACATCTGTTGCCATGAGTAGTAATTAAAGGGTATGTAAATATGTTGTAAATATTAGGAATCCTTTGTTAGGAAGGATATATGTGTGTCCTTTATTGCTTATTGTTTCCTTATAGAATAAGAATTGTATCTTGTATATATATTTCAGTTATACAATACAATGAAAATTAAGCCGTAAAATTTAATTTGGCATCAGAGCTCATCGTAACCCTAAGGCTCCCACCGTACCGCTGCTACCGTGAAACCAGGAAAAAAAATACAAAAGTATCCGGCAAGTCTGTGGTCTCTGCCGCATCCTGCAGCAAACTAAGACTGCTGCCCGTGTGTGCTGTATTATTACTGTCGAAGGGGAACAAAACTCACAGCAGGTCTTCAGTTGGTGTCGCTGCATCCCTGCAGCAAACCTGATTGCGTGCTATGTACGTGTGTGTATTGTGTTGTGCCAAGAAGGATTTGTTGCTAGTGTTGATAATAAAAAAAGGGAAAAAAAGAAAGGGATTGGCTGCTGCTTGAATTGCAGCATGCAGTCCAATTTTTTTTTGTCTTTTAAGTGCTGCTGCTTGTGTTCCTTGCAGCGTGTGGTTCCATAATTGGTGCGGTGTTATGATTGTCGTGTATTATTGTCTTGTGAGTTATTACAATGACGAATGAAGGTTGGATTTTGGATTCTAGTGCAACAGATCATATGACGTATGATAAAACCTTATTTCAATCTATGACACGCCTTCATAGAAAGTGTGTGGAAACTGCCAATGGTTCTACTGCTGCTGTTGTTGGAGTGGGAACAGTGTCTCTTACACCCTCTCTTCCCTTACATAATTGTTTAATGGTTCCGTCATCGTCCCATCACTTATTGTATGTACCTCAAGTCACTGAACAATTGAATTGTGTTGTATTAATGTATCCTTCATTTTGCTTGCTTCAGGATATTCAGACAAAGGAGATCATTGGGCGTGACACTAAGAGAGATGGGCTATATTATGTGGATGATGTGGTTCCTGGAAGAGCTAATTTGGTTCATGCGTCACGTAATAGTAATCTACATAAGGTATTATTATTGCATCGTCGTTTGGGGCATGCATCGTTTGGTTATTTGAAACATATATTACCTGATTTGTTCAGTGGTATTGAAGACTCAGAATTGAAATGTGAAGTATGTATTTTAGCCAAAAGTCATCGTGCTTCATTCTCTCCAAGTATGAATAGAACATCTTCTCCATTTGGGTTAATACACTCTAATGTGTGGGGGCCTTCCCCTATTAGTACTACTTCGGGAATTAAATGGTTTATTACATTTGTTGATGATTGCACTCGTATGACATGGGTTTATCTGTTCAAACATAAAAGTGATGTTAGTATGATTATTCGATGTTTCTCTCATATGGTGGCTACACAATATTCCTCCATTATTAAGGTTCTTCGTACTGATAATGGGGGAGAATATGTTAACTCTGAGCTATCTACTTTTTCTATGATCAAGGAATTCTTCATGAGACAACATGTTCGTATACCTCACAACAAAATGGGGTAGGTGAGAGAAAAAACTGTCATATTTTGGAAACTGCTCGTGCATTGCTTATTGGTAAGTCTGTGCCCAAGACTTTTTGGCCAGACGCCACCACCTATGCCGTGTATGTTATAAATCGCATGTCATCCCGGGTTGTAGAATTTCGTACTCCACTCCAAGTGTTGACGGAACATGTTCCGGTTGTTTCTGCCAATACTCTCACTCCTCGAGTGTTTGGATGCGTTGCTTATGTTCATATTCACAAGATTCATCATAGTAAATTGGATCCTTGTGCTCTTCGATGTGTCTTTGTGGGTTTTGCATCCCACCGAAAGGTTACAAGTGTTACCACCCTGCAACTCACCACATGTATATAACCATGGATGTGACTTTCTCTGAGTTAGAATATTTTTACGCTCCCATATCACCACCCTTCGATCACAAGGGTAGAGTTTTAGTTGTGATCTTGATGGTGTTTTTGAATGGTTGGATGTACACGAGGTAACAATTTCAGTGGGAGTGCCCGGTGCTGTGCTGAGTGATGCAGTTGATGCTTGGTGTCCTCCTGCCGAGCCTATTATGAGTGGTTAGCAGTTTTTCACCGAACATGTTGCAAGTGGTCAGTAGCTTCTCACCAAAGAAGAAGCTGCCAGTCCGTATGTTGGTGCTGCCGAAAATGAGTGCACTGATGATCAGCCAGCTGTTGCCAAAGCTTCATCTCCTCTCTCTAGCTCAATAGTGTCGTTGTCCAATACATCTTCTCTAGATATCCCTGAGGTAAGCACTAGTGATACTCATGTAACTAATGATGTTATAAGTACATATAAATTGCCACCAAGGCAAAATCGTGGTGTACCTCCTGACAGGTTCTTTCCAGAGGGAAAAATGAAGTATCCCATAGCCAATTATGTGTACTGTAAAAACCTTTCATCCGAACGTCAAGCTTGGGTGAATAATGTGGATTCAATTCAAGTACCAACTCAAGTAGAAGACGCTTTGAAAAGTCGAGAATGGACCGAAGCAATGGATGAAGAGATGATGGCATTGTAAAATAATACATGGGAAGTAATTGAGATACTGAAAGGAAAAAAGCCAATTGGGTACCGATGGGTTTTTACAGTTAAATACAAGGCTGACAGATTACTCAACAGGTATTAAGCAAGGTTGGTGGCGAAAGGGTGTACTCAAACATACGGAGTTGATTATCAGGAAACCTTCTCTCCCATGGCTAAGATGAATATGGTACGAGTCCTTCCGCAAATTTGAATTGGCCACTGAAACAATTTGATGTAAAAAATGCATTTCTTCATGGACATCTAAAGGAAGAAGTGTATATGGATTTCCCTCCAAGGTATAGTAACATAGAAAAATCGGGAGTGTGTCAATTGCCAAATTCACTTTATGGGCTTAAGCAGTCACCTCGTGCATAGTTTAGGAGGTTCACTCAGGCCATAAGAAAGAATGGGTATTATCAAAGTCATTCTGATCATACTTTATTTGTGAAGTGGAGAAATGGTAAAGTAACAGCCTTGATTATTTATGTAGATGATATGATAATAACAGGTGATAATTCAGATGAGATTGTCAAACTGGAGAATAATCTTTCTGCCGAGTTTGAGATGAAGAGTTTAGGTGACTTAAATTTTTTCTTGGAGTTGAAGTTACTCGTTCATCCAAAGATATTTTCCTGTCTCAATGAAAATATGTTCTGGATTTATTGAAGGAAACATGTATGCTTGGGTGTAAACCAGTGGATACTCCCATGTGGAGAAACATTACTTTGGAATTTATCCGGATCAAGAACCAGTAGATAAAGGCAGATATCAGAGGCTGGTAGGAAGACTAATTTATTTAGCTCTTACCGGTCCAAATATAGCCTATGCAGTAAGTGTAGTGACTCAATTTATACACTCACCGAGTATGGATCATATGGCAGGTGTTATGCGGATTTTAGCTTATCTGAAGTTTGCTCTGGAAAAAAGGAACTTTGTATAAAAATTTCGATCATCTGAGGATTGAGGGATTTACCGATGCTGATTAGGCATGTGATGTGACTGATAGGCGCTCTACTTCTGGTTACTTTACGTTTATTGGCGGAAATCTAGTTACTTGGAGGAGCAAGAAGCAAAATGTGGTGTCAAGGCCTTCAGCTAAGGCCGAATTCAGAGGTATGGCACAAGGAGTATGTGAGGTTCTTTGGTTACGTAAGTTGGGGAAAGCAAAAGGGGCCATAAAGCTTGTATTGTGATAATAAATCCGCACGGGAGATTGCAGAGAACCCAGTACAACATGACAGAACAAAGCATGTGGAGGTTGATCGTCATTTTATTAAGGAAAAGGTTGAGAAGAAGATTGTGTCAATACCGTTTGTGAACTCGGAAGAGCAGCTTGCAGATATCATCACTCATGTCGTGTGTAGTAGATCTTTTGGTGACTCACTTGTCAAGTTGGGTATGTGTGATATCTATGCTCCAACTTGAGGGTGAGTGTTGCCGTGAGTAGTAATTAAAGGGTATGTAAATATTAGGAATCCTTTATTAGGAAGGATATATGTGTGTGTCCTTTATTGCTTATTGTTTCATTATAGAACAATGATTGTATCTTGTATATATATTTCAGTTATGCAATACAATGAAAATTAAGCCGTAAAATTCAATTTACATCTAATATCGTACTCTGAACTTCACGAACAATATAGGGAAAAATATTAGGAAGAGATAAAATTATTTTGATGATATTCCCCATATACTTTACAGTGAAATATGAAATTTGTTGTATATATTTAAAATTGGTGTTTTTGTGTCCCTCCGTTCTGAATTTTGTGAGGAGATTTGCTTTTAATAGTATACTAATATTATATCAATGATGTTTGGCATCTTCTATCTACTTGGCCAGCTTTAATTTCCCACCATAGTTGGTTTTTTTTTTTGGGGGGGGGGGAGGAGGAGGAGGAGGGAAGGAAAAGGCTGCTGAGAAAAGATGCGATCGACTTATATGGTACGGGTAAATTGTTACGGTGGCCAGCTTTAATGCTTTTCAGCTACGGGTGTAATTCCCACCATAGTTGGTTTTGGGGGGGGGGGAGGAGGAGGAGGAGGAGGGAAGGAAAAGGCTGCTGAGAAAAGATGCGATCGACTTATATGGTACGGGTAAATTGTTACGGTGGCGTTACCATTGTTGGTGTTGGTGTGTTTTGTGTTGGAAGGGGGGGGAGGAAGGAAAAGGCTGCTGAGAAAAGATGCGATGGACTTATAAGGCACGGGTAAATTGTTACGGTGGCATCTCCTACTAATAAAATAAAGATATGTGTAATGTCATATATCCTTTTTAGTGTGTACTCATATCGTATAAGTTGTTCTCCAAAAATCGGAGCTACTACCTTGTGGGAGCAATGTATGAATCAAAATGTGAAATAGTATTTGCACTAAGTGCAATACTTCAGTGTAGAAAAAAATTGAACTTCATTAAGCGCACAGGACATATATAAAACAAAAAGGTCAAAGTGACAATGTATCAAACCAAACATACGATGAAAAATTAAAATACATAGTTACGCGTAATAGGTATGAAATATTACTACATGTGATGATTTGAGGATTAGGGCTTTAAATTACCTCAAAATAGTTCGAACTGGCACCGGGTTCCGGTCATGTTTGGTTCAAGGAAGCTCGGCTCGTGAAAGAACCAAGTCAAGCCTAATCCAGCTCGATTAAAAAATAAGTCAAGTTTGAACATTAATATGTTCAGCTCGTAAAGTTGGCAAGCAGCTTGAGATTGTTTTATGAGACGACTTGAATTAGGCTTGAGATCAGCTCAATCGTTCAAACCTGGCAAGTAAGAGTAAAATACGTGTCTTCAACTCTAGATTAAATGTTTTGTAATACTAATATATATTTTTAATTTCTTATCTGATACATATTTGGAGGTTCAAGTCAAACTAATTTAATTAGCAAAACGAAAACATTTTTATTTTTAACAAACGATATTATCTATACTAAAAGGGGGGGAGTGGGCAAAGTCTAACAATGGGCTAGCAATAATATGGTTTAAAGAACCCTAAAGAATACTAAGTGGCAACAAAACAAAAGCTTAAAACAATAGTTTAATATTGTTTCTTCTTTCTTGTGGAATTAGGTGGAAATAACCAAATAAGACTTCAAGTTGTGGCTCAAAGAACCCTAAAGAATACTGCAAATTTTGAAAAGCCAAAGTCCTTTGGGCGAATTATTCATTGCCAATACTATCATTCACTTCAAAACTTTTTAAGGGTACAAATATTGTAGTAAACTATGCTCGTATTTGTATAGTAGACTAGTATACAAAACATTATATCTTCCGCTTACTACACTCTACATAAAACTATATCATGATTTTTTATTTAGACCACTGCCAACAACAACAACAAAACATTTTCCCACTAAGTGGGGTCGGCTATATGAATCCTATAAGTGGGGTCGGCCAAGTTGTAAAAAAAAATTACACAACAAAATCAACTTATTATAAGAAATGGCTTGAAACAATTTGAGCTCGGTATCGGGCTCAAATTTTTAGCTCAAATTTTTAAGGCTTGCTTAAGCTCGACTCGTATATAAGAGTAAGCCAAGTCTAGCCCAAGCTCGTAAAGAACTAAACAAGTCAAACTTAAACACATTGATATTCAATTCAGCTCGATTCGTTTATAACCCTTGTGAGAGGATGTGTGTATCCTTCGCCATTCTTTATAAGAAGGGACTCCAATTATCCTCCTTCCATAACAAACGAACGAACTGCATTTGGGGCCGACCACAATATACCGCCCATTACTGAGAAAGAGTGGGGGCCCAACTTTTGTCCACTTTACACCCTTAAATGAAGACTTAAATCGCTTAATATTACGGTTTAATAGTATTTATCTTCATTTATAAATCAGAGATTTTCGGTTCGATTTTCATCAAAAGCGAATATGAACCACATTATTACTAACTCATTGTGAGACTAAACCCACTATCCTCCCCCTTAGTATAAATAATATTGTTTGTTCAAAAAAAAAATCATGACTTAATACCTTTTTTCTCTCTTTTATATACATGAGTAGGAGATCTGAATTTGAAACGTCTCTCAATAAGGGAAGTATTACCAAATTAAGAGCTAGTTAATAAAATTTCCGAGTGAGTTTGAAACCGAGAGTGCAATTATATGAAAATGAGGGTGAAAGAATTACAAAATCATAGAAGCAGAGACAGCCATTCCTTTTATGATCATAGTGATTGAGAGAATATTTGGTGCCATGAATTGGTTGATTCGCTTTATGACTCCTTAATGACATATTTTAATTGATCTGACTTTAGACAAACTTAAAGAAATGATGGGTACATAAGATACTTCCTTGTTCCCTAATTATTTAATCAATTTAATTTAATTTAATTATATTGATTTAATTTTTCACAAGTGATGTCACTTGATACTACAGTATTGTATTATTCATCTTCACTTATAAGTAAAAGGTCTTAGGTTTGATTCTCACCAAATAATAATTTGAACCGGATTATTATGGCAAGCTCATTATAAATATTAGTCAACTTCCTCATCCCCTTAATGTAGATACTATAGATTGTTCAAAAATAAAAACAAAAAAACAATTTCATGCCACTTACTACTATGGCCTAATGATATTCCTCTTCACTTGTAAGTGACACGTCTCAGGTTCGATTTTTGCCAAAGACGAACTTGACTCAAATTATTATTAGCTTATTGTGAGGTTTAATCCACTCCTCTACCCCCTGAGTATAGTTAATATCGTTTGTTCCAAAAAAAATTCACAAGTGATAGTATAGAAAAGAGAAATATCTAGGATTTTAGGTATCCTTTCGGTGCACGAGGGGACATGTTTTATTAACTTCTTCTTTCCTCAACATGAACGGCCGATAATCGAGAGCCTCTACTTCCCCATTCTATTCGATCTACACAAGATATTAAATTCCTTCTCTTGGTGCAATAATTTAAAGTGTGATGTTCCCATGCATGTAGATGTCGGGTTGAAGAACCCACCACTTGTTATCTTTTAACATCATAAACTTAAAAAATTATTCAGACTTCCAGAAAAATCTTACAAGCAATCGGCTGTTTACAAGCAGACGCATAGAAGATGGCAAAGTAGGACTCACAAGCCACAAAGCATCCGTTTGCATGAAGCTTGTATTTAAAAACTGATACATACCATGCGAGTATTACACACAACCATAAATGTAAAATACACACTTCCTACAACGAGTACATGAAGAATTTTTATTTTCGACGATGAGTGCAGAAGATCAGGTCGACGCACGTAATCACAGCTGAATCCTACGACATCATAACTTGTAAATGGGTACCAAAATTTGTTGTAGTGTCCGAACATGAAGTGTCTGGTGAAGTGAGATTAGGTTGGGTTAGGTAGCAAGTCATTCTCGTAGACTTAAGAGTCAACATAAATTGTCGCACTCGCTTTAATTAATAATAATTACTTTTGACTAAGATAAGCACCCGTTTTACCATCATAATCCAAATACAATCATATGCCATTACTGTTTTACTTTTACCGCACCAAAGTTCCTATTTTTTTCTTTTTTCTTTTTCTAGCAATTCATATTATCTACCTTAAGAAGGAGGGTGAGCTTAACTTCACAGTGGACTAATAATAATATGGTTCAAATTCTCTTTGACGATAATCAAACTAAGACCTCTCGTTTACAAGTGAAAATGATCGATAGAGCAGTCTTGTTTACCTTTTTTGGTATGGAATGAAGGTAGGTGTCTATCTAGTCAGAATTTGAAGAACTTTCCTTTGAAATGAAGTCTGGTCAATCATTCTTACTTTCATACTCGTGTCCTTTCTACAAAACAGAGTCAAAGTTGCAATACTAAACTGTAGTACTAAGTGATCTAAAGTTACTATTTTCTCTCTAAAATCATTGTGGCTTGGCTATTTGGTAAAAAAACAAAGATATTTCCAAGTATATATTATAGAAACTGTGAGGAGACTATTTTTCTTTATTATATTTTGTAAAAATATGACAATTGATAATTAAATTTTATTTATAACGATTTAGAAAAGGAATCCAATATTTAAACTCTACGTCATATGATTTACAAAATACGATCTAAAAAGAAGGTGTAAAAATACACTTATGATGATGGTAAAATGAGATTTTTAGAGTACCAATAACATTTCTCTATATATATATGGTGTACATATATATATATACACACACATGTACCATAAATGCATGGGATAGACATGACGTCCGATCGCGCAACGTGGACGGTGGATATCAACCAATCTCTCTCCTCCTAGCGCTATAAATTGAGGGTCATGGGCTCCCCTGAATACTCATTCAAAACAGAGTTGTGGTCATCTGCCTTATTGTCATCAATCCAAAAATGTCGTCGTGCTGCGGTGGTAAATGTGGTTGCGGGTCCGGCTGCGGCTGCGGCAGTGGCTGCAACGGGTAATCTTTCTAACCTTCTATTTGTTTCCCGAGAATCTGGAAAAAGAAAATCCCAGAAAATTTATCTGCTCTGTTTTTGGTTTTTGATTACGTGGGTTCTTGTTTCAGGTGCGGGATGGCTCCTGATCTGAGCTACATGGAGGGGTCCACCACTGAGACCCTTGTCATGGGAGTTGCTCCCCAGAAGTCGTACGTATCTCATCTCTCAGAAATGAAATCCTAAATTATATTTGGAATTTGTAAATTGCATATGTTGTGGTTATAATCTGGGAAACACGGAGAAACAGAACTGGATGGACGCTAAACAGACAATAAAAGTTATAAAACGACAATAAAAGGGTACAAAATCGTGACTCATGCACGGCTTATTGTCTGTTTTGCGTGATCCAGTTCTTTTTTTATTTTTATGAAACTAACCGGTTTAATTTGTGCATATTTCTCGTTATAATTTTGGGGAACATGGAGAAACAAAATTGTAGAAACATTGAACAGACAATAAGAGGATATTAAAGCGTGGTTCATATACATCTTATTGTCTATTTATGCGTATTTACACTGATTTTTCGAAATATAGATATTAAACAGACAATAAAGCGATATTAAACCGTGATTTGTATACAACTTATTGTCTGTTTCGTGCCCTCCAGCTTAATTTTGGATTAAAAGATTGTAACCGGTTCTATTTACGCTAATCGGGCTATAACTTGGGTTTTGATGTGCAGGCACTTTGAGGCATCTGAGATGGGAGTTGTAGCTGAGAACGGATGCAAGTGCGGGGATAGCTGCACCTGCAACCCCTGCAAGTGCACCAAGTGAGTGACAGATGTCACCTTCTGACGAAGCAAGAGAATCGTGGGGCTTCTATGTTTAGCAGTAGTAATCTATGTGTGTGTCTGGTAATTATGATCCTAATGTACCAAGGTCGTGTTGTTAGAATAAAGTAGCCATGGCTTGCCCTCTGACCTGCAGATCCACTAGGCAAGGATCTGCTGAGGATGATCCTAGGTTATGGCTGCTTGTGTCTCTGTTTCTATCATGTGTTGTGTAGAGTTGGATCATACTGTGTGTGATGAAATGAATGAAAAACTTGCATGTTTTACTTTAATTTTTGGATTCAGTTTACTTTTTAGATTCGGAACTCTTAGTCAATCTGATGGCGAGATCTTTCTTTGTTTTCGGGGTTCAAGAGAAGAGAGGAGCCACCACCCAATGGTGCAGTTCCACCGGATGTGGAATAGCCCAGTACCTAGTCAAAAAACCAGGCTAGGACCCTGTCAACCCACGGGATTGCCTGTCACCCAGCCCAAGCCGGTCTCCAGGCCAGCCCAAAATTGACAGACCTTGGGACTGGACTATATGACGTCATGCTGGCGTCATGATCTGAAATCGATGACGACGAACTCCATCTCCGACAAGGAAGACTGCTGGATGACTCTACCTTCGAGGATGAGGCCGTCGACCCGGAACTTGCTGTTGAGGACGAGCTGGTCTTGGAAGCTGTTGAGGATGATGACATCAAATCCGGCGATGCAGCTGAAGGTCAGGGCGTAGGTTCAGAGGCGGTGGGTTTGGAGCTAGCGAGCCCAGGTGTCGATGTCGACCTGTTTGGGGCGAGTCGGACCGCGGAGAGTGAAGGGGAGGTGGGGATTTGATGGAGGGTGGAGATGGGGGGTGTGGGGTTGGCGTGTTCTAGTCTGAGGAGCATTTTTGGAGAGAGAGAGGGAAAAAGAGGGAGAGAGAGAGAGCTCACGGTGATGATGAAGGTGGTGGTGGGTTGGTGTGCTTTGATAAACAATCTGTTAAATTATTATTTTAATAAAATTGACTAGGCTATTTATTATTAGGGATGGAGATGTTTTGGCCTATTATTGTTTATTGAGATCTATTACTGTTCACTTGAGTGGATAAATGCACTAGGTGCTGGCGCAAAGTCTTTAGAGGTAGAATTGCTCTTACGAAAGCATGGTCACCAGTGGCCCTCCACCTTCTCGACACTATCGAACCAGAAATCGCTCTCAATCGTTCTGGAGGAATTTTTTGCATATCTTGGACTTAAGGGCAAAAAGTGCCCTATTCGTAGGGGTAGCGCCAGTTGTTTGTTTTCAAGGGACCAAGGCCACGTTATCAGTTATCTGATTTTTTCAAATTTCATCTAACAGTCAAATTACTTAATCCGATGACCTTAATGGAAGAGATCCGGAGAAATCTCTTTCCTTTTTCAAGTTAAGCCCAGTATCCCTATCCCTTATCAGGTTGGCATAACAAAAAAAAGAAAGAAAAAGTCCAAATAATAAAAATTCTACGGTGCTTTGGTGTATACGGTAATTTCGATATTTTAACTGTCATATTTTAATTTCTCTTTTTGATAAAAGAAAATCTAACGAGTAAAATACCTGAATAACCCCGATAGTCCAGAATATTATAGAAAATGTATATATGAAGGAGAAAACACAAAAGAAGAATTAGATTAGAGTTGTAAATATGACATTACATTTAATTGATTGTACGCTACAACCAAAGGTTTGTTAAACACTACACAAATCACACACAGGGTCTATTTAGTCTTTTACAATCACATTTGCAATCCAAATCAGTAAGGAATCTGATGGGCTAATGTTACAGTCTGCTTCACCACAAGGCTTATTTGGGAGACAAATTTCCCTAGGGCTGCCGCCTCTCATCGGGTCAGACCAACGTGCGGTTGGTGGATTAGAATACAAGAGGTTTCCCATGATTTTTGTGAGAGGTGCTCTAGAGTTGAACGTTGTCGGACACCCCTACCCCGAGTTCACGCTTACTTGACCTGTAAAATATCTGAGCAGCTGGGTGTTGCCTTTATTTGCTTATCTAGTACCCCAACTGCAGCTTTATTAAACAGGTTGACAATCTGTAGAAAAAAAAGAAAATTAATTAGAGCAGATTAGTAATCAATCATTCATCTTTTAATGGGAATTGTAGTGAGCCTCTCTTAGGATCACCTGCTTAGTTGAGAGACCTATTTTCTCCAAATCGTTCAGCTGAAACATGCAACATGCAACATGCAACATCAGAATTACTCATTTAATGCAATTCAAAGTTTCTCTGTATCGTTCCAATTTTATCGGATATCACCCGAAGGGACAAGTGTATTTCGAAATTCATCTATGCCTAAACCTTACGAAACTTGCTTACCGATTTTAAAGGGCTCGTTTCTCTGAGCTCAAGTATGTATTCAGCCATTTTGACTCCTATTCCCTGGATGAAGATGAACACAAGAAAAAGAAAATTTTAGAAGGCAACAAGTTATTTTAAGAACATGGAGATGCGGTGTTACGATACCAACCCTCAACTCCAGCAGCTCTTCCCTGCAGTTGCGAAAACCAGTCGAAATATTAGGTTCATTTTGTATGATTGAGAGTGCAAAACGCAAGAAACGATGAAGTTTCAAAATGATGATAAGGATTTTACCTGTTGTGTTCAAGAAGTCAATATACTCTTGAAGTAGGAACTTCTGCGCAATTATTTAAAAAAAAAAAAAAAACACAGATGAAAACTCACATTATTGAAGCGCTAAGACTTATCGAGTTGTATGTAATGAATGTACCTTTAAGTTTGATCCGCAAGCAGTGAATTTATCAAGTGGGGTGCCTGTTATTTGGAACATGTTTTTCGTGCAGGTCGCTAAAGAGGGAGTTTTCGGAGTGCAATCTCCATTTGTGAATAGAGTTTCATTGAGGGGCTTTTGATTTATATTGGTGTTGATTGGGGAGAGAGCTTTTCTCAAGGAACTTCCCGGTGAGTTTTCCTCCTGGTTTGATGGCTCACCTATGCATATATACAATGAAATATTGCAAATATTCAATTTGTTTAGATTGTTTGAATCTTTGAAGTAGCATAGTAAGTAATAAATCCATACAGAGTGGAAATGTATCATGTAAACTTGTATTTGATTCGAATATGGATCCACCACCTCCAGCATTGCCCTCTTGTTTATTATCCTTAGCGGCAAATTGCGCGTTCTGGAAAGCAATTCCAACTCATAAATACACATCAAACACAAGATAAACGAACTCGGAAAGAACTTAGCAGCTTCTCATCCCCAAGTGGAGCTGCAAAACTCAAACTTTCAAATAATATGCCATTTCATGAATTGTCATAAAAAACAAAGTTTCACAATACATGATAGAGTAAGAATAAGAATGTATCGAAAACGCTATAACGTAGTTCTCACTTTATCATTTCCATCCATGTACTCGCTAAAATTTAGTAATTACCTCCAAATTGGAATCAACTACACTTTCATTGTCAAATATATTCCTCATAGGTATAGTGATTTTCCTGCAAAAAATTTTAACAATCGGACAAAAGTGCCTAGTGCATAGCATGAAGATATACAATTCAACTAGTTACTAGTTGTCGTACCTTTCTTTTGCAGTACAGGCACTTCTGTTTGTATTAACCTTGGATTTCATAGAACTGAGGTTGATGTTGCGTTTCTTGACATTGGCAATAGAAGAACTAGGAGTTTTCCCCAACAAGGGAGAACTGAATGCTTCAATTCTCCGTGCACTCTTCGTCTTTCCTCTTGATTCAAGCCAAGCACGAAGTTTGGCTTCCATGTCAACTTTAACCTTTGGTGTCTCTTGCTTGTGAGCTGAAGGAACAAAGTTGGTAATGTGGCGTGACCGAGCTGCCAAGCTGACAGTATGAACAGACTCTTGGTACTCTCCTGGATTCTATTATCAAAGAAAATTGTTTCCAATATAAGTTCCAAAATAATAATAATAAGAACAGGCCAGATGAAAGCACTTCTATTCAAACGCGAATTCAAACTACTTACCAAGCAAGTAATCATCAAAGCCTGACTCATCCCACCTAATGAGTCTTGCAAAATACGAGTCAATTTACTCTCTCTATAGGGCACTCGGGATAAGTTGTTGTTCAGTGCATAAATGACATTCGATAATGCAAACAAAGACTGGTTAATCTTCGCACTCTCTGGAGACGAATCCCTTCGTTGAAAGTTCTTCTATTGTCTTCATTGCCTGGGTGAAATACACATGTAGATTAAATAAAAGAAAGACAGAGACCATAAACAAATCTAATTTCCAATTGATTTTTACTTGCGTAAGAAGCTACAGGAAAAAGGTTAGAAGTAAGAAAAGACCTGCTAGATCTATGAGATTCAACTTCCCAGTAACGAAATCCCCAGAACCATCATCATGAGGAGTGGAAACGGCGATCACAAGGACCCCATGGCTCCTACTAGAGACATCATTGAGACCCGTATGGGCAGTTTTCCGCCTCTGAATCCCACAAGAAAAGGCCTCGTAAAACTCAGACATGGACTTTACAGGCACCCGAGAAAGTCCCCTGAGATGAATCTGCCCATCTTTGTCATCCAAAACCGTAATTTCCTTGGCTTTGATCTCTAACAGGTCATAACACCTGTCCATATAGACCTCATAGTATGAAAGCTCAACTGAGCTTCCTGTGCTCTGGCACATAGACAGGATTTTGGACATGGCCAGCGGCATTAGACCCGGCATCTCATCCGTTCCCTGGAACATAAATCACATGCTGAAATTAAGCATTACAGAAGGAAATGCTTCAGAACAACAAGCTGCATTTAGTTACTCAAACCTATCATAATTCAGAATTTTCATTTCTTTTCGGGGATAATTACAGATAAAGTTCAGTATTCATTGATCCTAATGCATTGAAGTTTCATACGCAGAATTATCCAGATTAATGCAATTACTAAAGTTTCATATGTGGGCAGACGTTGGTGTAGCCATATTGGGTAGAGCGGATGTGGTCCCCCTCCCCGCAATTTAATTAGTTTAAAAATTAAAATAGAACATCGATTATATAAAAAGAAAAGATTTTTTTTTCATATTTCTCGATAATTCAAATTCAAAATTGAATTTTTACCAAAAGAAGCAAAAAAATTTCAAACCTGCATAGTGTAAGTCTTTCCACTTCCAGTAGCTCCGTAGGCAAACACCGTCGCATTGCAGCCATGAAAGAGTCCCGGAATCAAAGGGCACACTTCTCTACTGAAGATCCGGCCAACATTGTTGTCCTCTTGGGCAAAGCAGGAGTCCAACCGATAGCACTCGTTTCGGCTACACCCGAAAGGCAAAATCAGCACCCACCATCAAAACCCAGCTTCCCGAATAAAAAAAACCCAAAAATATGCTTCCAATTATCTCACTGAAAATCAATAAAATTCCTCACCTTGTATCTTTATCTTTGAGATAAACAACCACTTCTTCGGCAGAGGAATCGGATTCTTGTTCGACAACAGAGGCGCACGGCGTCTGATCTCCGTTACCGGCAGCGATCTCTTGCGGAAGAAAAGGGCGCACCCGCACGATGACTCTGACCTTCGAAATTGAATTGGGGTTCGCGGATTTTGCTGGAGTTGCAGAAGTACTGCCAAGAAATCGACCAACCTCCATTGGAATAAAGGAAAGAGCTCAGCTTGGATTTCAAGAGAGAGAGAGAGTTGGGAAATTGCAGAACGGTCTGTAACTGAAAGATGTAGATTTATGAGGGAAGAGGAGGTTTGAAACTACTAGTCGAACGTTGGGCCTTTTTCAGTTTGAATTTTTGGATTAGGGTGCGGACTTGGCCGGTGGGCCTCGTCTGTGGTGGGGCCTATTTCTTACTCTTTCGAAATGTTTGCCTTGGGAACTGCTTTAACAGGATAAAAATTATAACAGTTAAATTACATTGACGTGGCAATTTAAGATCTTATGTAAAATTTTGTAGCTAACTGAATTGTTAAATGTTACTTTCTTATTAATATAAAGCTATAAATGGTTGTATTTATTAAAAAAATTGTTGAAACAAAAGTTTCATTGATTGAAATGTTGGTGGAATAAGGAACCCACTACTAAAATTAATTTAAAAAAGTTTGACATTGATGTCAAATTTGACTCATAATCACAAAACTTTCGAATACAGTCAGCAAATAACATTTAAATTGAAATGATTTTATTTTTATTTTTTAAATAAGGGTGGAAATGCTTTTGAATATTAAAAATGCATTCAAAACAATCACAAATAAAATGAGTTCTTGTGTTTTGACTGTCGAACGTGGTTTGTATCCGCTTAGAGTTAAGCGACATCTAAATATAGGAATCCCATTTCTTTGTGAGCAAGCCGGATAGTCCACTTAATTCAACCATCGAACACAAAAAATACTTGCTAAATGGTTGTATGGCTCTATTGGTTTAGCCGACCGCAAGTTATAATTTCCTCCCAAATAGGAGAAATTATATTGTACACCTTCATTAGTCTCGAAGGGCATGATGTCTGCAGAATTGGCTATCTTGGTCTTGAAGACAACCATTTTCGAGCCATTTTCGAGCCATTTTTCGGCCAAACCACAACGAGTTAGCCGTCGAAAAATGTATCATTCTCTTCGTCTCGTCGAGACATATGATTTTCATTTTTGAATTACTTGATTTCATTGAGTATTAAAGAAGTTATGAACATTTAAAGTTTACCCAGTTTCCGGCGAGTTTTCCAGTTTTCCCTCAAATCAGTCAACTTTGAGGCTAGTTTCCAACCATTCCCGGAAACCATTGGGCTTCCAAATATGTATAATCTTATTCTACACAGTTACTATCTTCATTTTGATATATTATGGGTCGAATTTGATTAAGAAACGATTGAGTTACGAAACTTTGAAAATTGGCCAAACTTCTGGCCAAGAGCTCTAGGACACTTAACAGAGGTTTTAACGGAATGACCACAATGATGGATGGTGGACAATCTCAATGATCACTTTTATTGATTTTAAATGTTAGAGATTAAAGTGATGAGTTATGCAAATCTCATGAATCATTTTGGCTATTTAGCCTTTTTAAAAATTAAAAAAAAAAGGTTAGAAATGCTTTTGATTATTAAAAATGCATTCAAAGCAATCACAAATAAAATGAGTTCTTGTGTTTTGACTATCGAATGTGATTTGTACCCGCATAGAGTTAAGTGACATCTAAATATAGGAATCTCATTTCTTTGTGAGCAAGTCGGACAATCCACTTAATTCAACTATCGAACACAAAAAATACTCTCTAAATGGTTGTATGGCTCTATTGGTTTAGCCGACCACAAGTTATAATTTCCTCCCAAATAGGAGAAATTATATTGTACACTAGAACGTAAACCTCACTAGTCCAACCTATGTCGTATAAAGAAGGTGTACAACACTGGAACGTAAATTATATTGTACACACACAGGCATAGCTAGTCCCAACTTATGTTGTATAAGGAAGGCGTACAACTTAAGCAATATGGTCATCATTTTTGCATGAAAACTATTTCTATCGATTTTAAATTTCAAAAACCAAGTAAAAAGTTACACTGTATCATTAACACCACATGTTGATAATATAACCGTGCCATCAAGTTGCTCTCATTAGTTTGGTTTGTCTATGGGCCACTCTTGAGACATAGCCGCATGCGACTGGCGGAGGGAAAAATCTCTCAACAGGCCCAAATGGCCCCATGGTCAGAATTTTGATTACCCAAAAGTTTGAGGACCTGTCAGCAAGGCGGCGTAAATATGTGAGGGGTTTAAGACAGGGGCCGTAATGGGAAATGCGTTAAACCCTAAACCCCAAAATTGTGGAAAATCGAACGAAGACGAAGATGGAGAAGGGCATGCTGTCTGCAGACTTGGAGGGTCTTCCCGAAGAAGACAAGCACAGAATGACCACCTTGATCGACCAACTCCAGATTCGAGACAGGTTTTCTGATTTTTCTTTTTTTGTTTTTTTGAATGCAGAGTTTTTGTTTATTTTTCTATTTTCCTGAAAAAATTGAATTTATTCTCAGTAATTTGTAATTAGTGAGGCATGTTCTTGCTATTGTGCTTGAAAGATTGAAGTTTCAGAAAAATACCCACAAAATTAAATTGTTAATTGTAAGCAGGAAAGTTGGAATTAGGATGTGATTCAAATGTAATCTTGGTTTTAGAAACCGAATCCGAACCAGATGTATATCTTCAGTTCGGCTCACGGTTTTGATGGTGAGTTGGGCCAAACCGAACCATGCCTGCCCCTACTGATTTCTGTGACTTTTGTCGAAAATGTAGTCTGAGGATGTACAATTCATTGGTGGAGAGATGCTTTACCGACTGCGTGGACACCTTTCAGCGCAAATCGTTGACGAAGCAAGAGGATACGTGTGTTCGTAGGTGTGCTGAGAAGTTCCTAAAGCACTCGATGCGCGTTGGCATGAGGTTTGCAGAGCTTAATCAAGGAGCAGCTACTCAAGAGTAAGCTAAGCTCTATGTATGAATCATTTTGGTATGGAAGTCTTGAAAACCGTTCGAATTGGTTTATGGAAGTTGCAACTTGTTTAGCATTGGCTCCTGAATTATGTTTCTTACACTGCATATATTTGTACCTTTTCAAAGACGAAAGATTATTTTGAGGTTTTACAGTTAAGCTGGAATTGGACATGAATTAGTATGATTTACGGTTTTTCCTTTTTTACTGCGTGTCATATCGGATTATCTCGTGTGGTAAAATGTGTTAGGAATGTCGGTACTACAAGATAGAGAATGCACAAGGTAAAGTAAAAAATGGACGCCAAGAATTTATGTGGTTCGGCAATTTATGCCTACGTCCACCAAACAAGGAATCTTCACTATATGAAAAAGATGAATACAACAAGAGTAGTCTTACCAAGCCAAAGACAAGGGCTTGATGGATACAAGAAAGTATAACACACACTTTCTATCACTCTAAACTTCACTCACACAATGTGTAGTGGAACACTCTCACTCTCACTCTTGGAGTGGAACTCTAGCTTTGGACTTGATCCTTTGCTACTCACTCTTGGTTCTCAATTGGTTACATCACACCCATATTTATAGGTGAGGGCTTGGCATTCTACTAGTTTCTAGTTCCTTCTTCAAACCTCTAGTATAGAAAAATCTAGACTAGCCACATACTTGTAGCTTCTAGATCTTTCCATTTGCAAACCAAGGAAGCTAGTACTCTCTAGCTTCTTCCATCAACTTAATAACATGCTAGAATTGTCTAGCAAGCTCCAGCCTCATCTCTTGCTTACTAGAATAATCTAGAACATTGATCATGGGCTGGACCATATACCAACAATCTCCCCCTCCAGTCCATGAGGGAGGAATTCCGATCATGACTCCAAGTTACCTGGAGTTCATCCCAGCAGCCTTAATGCAAAATTCCAACTTTGATTTTGTGACTACCTTTGTCAACATGTCTGAAGAATTATTATCGGTATGAATCTTCTTCAGCTGTAGCAACTTGTTCTCGATAGCGTCTCTAATCCAGTGATAACGAATATCAATGTGCTTAGTGCGTGAATGATATGTAGTGTTCTTGCTCAAATCCAGAGCACTCTGACTATCACAATAAACGCCATAATCACTTTGCTTCAACCCAACTCTTGGAGAAACCGCTTCAGCCACAACAACTCCTTGCATGCTTCTGTAGCGGCTATGTATTCAGCCTCGGTTGTGGACAAAGCAATGCACTTTTGTAACTTGGATTGCCAAGACACGGCTCCCCCTGCAAAAGTAAACAAGTACCCAGACGTAGATTTTCTACCATCCAGGTCACCTCCCATGTCAGCATCTGTAAATCCTTCCAAGATTGGTTTGGAAACCGCCAAAGCACAAGCACATCTTAGAAGTCCCTTCAAATATCTGAGAATTCCACTTAACGGCTTCCCAGTGGTCCTTCCCTGGATTAGAGAGAAACCTGCTCACCACACCTACTGCATGAGCAATATCTGGTCGTGTGCACACCATTGCATACATGATACTTCCTACTGCTGAAGAGTAGGGAACAACTGCCATTTTCTCCTTTTCTTCATATGTTTTTGGACACGACTCTTTGCTCAACTTGATATGATTGGCTAAAGGTGAGCTTACCGGTTTGGCTGCTTTCATGTTGAACCTTTCAAGCACCCGTTCAACATACTTTTCTTGTGACAGCCACAACTTCTTGGATTTTCTGTCACGAATTATCTCCATGCTCAAAATCTGCTTGGCTGGCCCTAAGTCCTTCATGTCAAAGGACTTAGATAACTCTTCTTTGAGCTTTTTAATCATAGAAGCATCTTGTCCGACAATCAACATGTCATCAACATAAAGCAATAAGATGATGAATGTACCTCCAGAAAATTGTTTGATATAGACACAAGAGTCAGCATGAGTTCTCTTGTACCCATTACTCACCATGAATGAGTTGAACTTCTTATTCCACTGTCTCGGAGCCTGCTTAAGACCATATAAACTTTTCTTGAGCTTGCACACCAAATTTTCTTTACCTTTGACTTCAAAGCCTTTGGGTTGCTCCATGTATTCTCCTCTTCTAAATTGCCGTGGAGAAATGCAGTTTTAACATCTAACTGCTCGAGCTCAAGATCCATGCTTGCTGCCATAAACCAAGGATAACTCGAATGGAAGTCATCTTCACCACCGGTGAGAAAAATCTCATCAAAGTCAACTCCTTTCTTTTGACCAAAACCTTTGACAACCAAACGAGCCTTGTACCTTGTCATGTTG